GAGAGAGAGAGAGAGAGAGAGAGAAGGGGGGGCGGGGTGGGAGGGCTCCCCCAAGTCCACCCATTCCCAAAAAATCTCGTTTGTAGTTAGTCGTAAGACGATAAAAGCCTATTTTTAGGATCGAAGAATGTCACAAGTCGTCTCTGTGCAAACTGTGAAATGCCACTCTGCTGATAGATAGAGATTTATGTCGCACCAAATTGTGATGGCGGTTCTCCGAGGGCTCTCGGATGAGATTGAGCTTTGGGAAGAGCGGTTGCCATGGTAATTGGTACTACCGACGTAGCAGTCTGCTCACTTAGCCCTTAAAATCAGGTTATCTTACTGGCGAGCTGCTCCGCACAGCGAGGCTGGCTGCTGCTGTCCGCGTCCACGACACGCATTAATCACCTCCGCGCGGAGCAGTCCTGGCGAGGGGAGATCACCATAGTAATCAGCTCACCAGCTGACTCAGCCCGCTGACAACAGGCTGACGCACAGTGTGTGACGCAGAAGCTCGTGAGCTAGCGGAGAGTGACTGCTTTGCGTGAGTAACCGTACATCGTGCTTTATTTGGGGAGCCTGCAGAATTAACCCCGTCTAACGTGAGTTCCTCTCCCTTGCTCCGGGAATAGAATTCGCAGTCTCTCGCCCGAGAAAAGGATGAACCTTGTTTAAATACCCTGCAAGATACCTTTGTATGTTTAAAACCAAGATGTATTTTTTCCTGGATTTAATTTCCTCTCGTTCTCTTAAATAGAAGTTTGCTCCTGCCGTCAGGAAGAGGAACAGGGGACTGGCCGGAGCACTTTGCCTGAGTCACTTTCTCTCTTGATAATAATGCGTCATTCCTACAAAAATATAAAAATTTATAATTGATGGATGGAGTGCCCTTTGCAAGTAGCCTGTGAATATTCACAGTCAAACCTCACACATAAACAGCGGCCATTTGGGTGCAGTGCTGGCACCTGTGTATCTTCTGAGGAAGTAAAAAAAAAATCATAATAATTTAATAATAATCCTTGCATTTGACATAGCACCTCATCGCGTCTTCGATTCGTCTCAAAGCGATTCACGGAATATACTGTAAAGTGAATTGACGGTATATTTTGTGGGTGAAACGCGGCAGCCGATTGCGCACAGCAGCGTCCCCACAAACAGTCGTGGATTGAGAGACCAAACTCCTTCAGGAGTGGAGAAATAGGAAGAAAAATTTGACAAAAAAAAGAGCTAAGTGACTGTATGAATACGATCACCTTGCTTTTTGATATAGCAGCTTTCACATCAGGAGGACGTCTCAAAGCTCCTCACAGGATGACCTGTAAAGTGTGATTTGTAGGTGAACAGGCTATGTGTTTGTTGCAAACCTTTTCACTTATTTTACGCCTTTAATTGTGTTTTTTATTTGAATGTTATTGCTGTTTCTTATCCAAAGCAAATTAATCAGAATCTGGTTTGAGTAAGTCAGCAATAGAGTAATGGTCATTTACAAGACAGTACTGAGTCAGGCCACCATAAAAATAAAATGGACAGGGTCATTTTCAACAATAATTAATAAAGCTCAGCCCAGCTACTGCATAATATAAGCCTTCTATGATCTTAATAAACATTTCATAAGTCATTTAGGAAATATGAGATATAATGGTACATGGTTTGTGTTGTATAAACCTTATATAAGAGCAAATAAAAGATTTTAGAGCACTTCAAACCCACTCTGCCTTTCAAGGTCAGTTTCCTATCAGGCAAGTTGCCAAGGAAAAAACTAAATGAAGCTAAAATATTCGGGTATCTTAAAAGGAAGAACTGATTTTCGAGGAAGTTAATTATTTATTGCTCCTAAATTGGTTTGCGTCTTATTTATGTGCTGTAATCATGGGCCTTTCTTCGTCCTAAATTGTGACTACGGGAATAAAAGGCAAGATTGGAAGAATTTCTTCCCAGAGTGTTGTCAGGCAGCGAATGGAATGATTTGCCAGGAATGGCTGTTAGAGCGGATTGGGGGCATTTCAGAGGAAGGGTGTTAGAGGATATAGGGAAACAGCATTGGGATACAGGTGGATGGCTTCTTGGAAGAGCAAATGCTGACATGAAAAAATAGCCTCATATTGTGTCGTACATTTACTGCATATGGTTCTTTTTCTGCCAATCTCTCTCTCCTGCTTTAACTGGACCCTGAGCTGGAAGACAGGCCAACTCTGTATCCGTATACATAGGCCTGTTACAGCTTTACGGAGCTAAAAGTTAAATCAAGTTGCAGTTTGAGCCACAGGTATCTTTGATATCTCCCGCTCCAAGCTCCGTGAGCCAATCGCACCCCCCACCCAGCCTCGCCCGGCTTCACTTGTTCCCCATCCCCCAGAGATTTGAGTTGAAGATCCTTCCCCCTGACTATTAAAGCCCTCCACGGTCTTGCTCCTCGCTACCTTTGCGACCTATTAAAACCTTACCAACCTGCCCGCTCCCTCCACTCGGCGGGCACTGGTTTGCTCCATATCTCCGCCCTGCCCGACCCACCATCAGGAGTCAGCTTCACCGTCAGCCTTTCTGCACCTCACCCTCTAGAACTCCATCCCAGAATCCCTTCGCCTCACCCCCTCCCTCACCGCCTTCAAGGCCCATCTCAAGACCTTCCTCTTTGACCGTGCCTTCAGTCATCCTCCCGCCACCACCCCTCTCGATTCCAACTCTCAGCTCGGGTGCAAATCTTTGACTATCCAGGACCGTGGGACGTCCTCCAAACATGAAAGGCACTATATAAATGCAAGTTGCTGTTATTGTTGATGCTGACCCAAGAAACTTCTTCCTTCTACGCCTTAGCTTTCACCCCTCTCTATCTGAACTTTAAATCCTCTTACAAATGGGCCTCTTCAGCTGTGCCTACGAACATCTCCCCCTTCCACCTCTCCCTTGCTCAGCGCCTGATTCCCATCATTGCGAAGCGCTCCGAGACATTATCCTATGTGAAGGGCACCATATACAGGCAAATTTATTGACGTTTTGTCCGAGAAGCTTTAGTTGATGGTTGCTCCAGAATCTCCGCTGTGATGCTGGCGCATATTAACGCTGGGAACAGTGATGGAGCACCAGGAACTTTTCCTACTGTGCTTGGGACTTTTAAAACTCTGGGGAACTTTTTAAAATACGTTGGCACAAACTGTGATTACTCAGCACTGAGATAATCACTTCGACACTGATCACATCATACACACGATCCTCTTTTGACAGAAAGATTATCCGACAACAACGACCCTTTAGAAGAAACCTTTCTGACCCCCTTCTCCTTTTTGTCACTCTTTTTTGCATTAATACCATTACCACCACCACCAACTTGCTTTTACATAGCGGCGTTCACACGGGGTAGCGTCCCAGAGCGTCATGACTGGCTGAATGAGTAAATAACAACATATATTATCCTTGCGTTTGCCCTTAACTCATTGTCGAAACGTCTTAAAAGAGCTTCACAGGAATTTTACTGTTAAGAGGAGTGACCGTATATTTGTAACCAAACACAGCGGCCAATTTGCAAACAACACAACGACATTTATAGAGGGAGGAGTGAGTGTGTGTGAATGAGTGAGTGAGTGTGTGTGTGGGGGGGGCTCCCAAAGCGCTGTCGGTGTCGGTGTCGGGGCACCCGAGCACGGGGGAGGGATGGTGCAGGGGTGAGGGAAGGCAGAAAACGGTGTGATGTCCTACAAACAGCCGTGAGCCGAGCGATTTTTTATCTGAGAGATCGTCGGCCGGGAACATTTGAGCGAAATTCCCTTCCGTCCGCGATGAGTGCCGACGGGATGTGCCAATTCCGTCAAAAACACACGCGGGACCTCGGTCTCTGGCGTCTCGTGCGAACGAGGGCAACGGCCGACAGTGCAGAGGCGCGAAACGAACGCGAGCGGTTCCCATCGCCGTAAGCGCGCGACGCGGGACGGGACGGGACGGTGTTTCGGCGGAGAGCAAGTCGTAGGTTCCAACCCCCCCCCCCCACCCCCACCCACCCGACCGACCTCTCCGTCGGGGTGGGGGGGGTGGGTGGGTGGGGGGGTGGGGTGGGGGGGGTTTCAACCTCAGTGATTTTTTTTGCCCACAATTGTACGGTGGCCACGAACTTCGCAGCGCGTCCCGGGAAGCGCTTCGAGACGCCTCGAAGACACGATCGGGCGCCACGTCGAGACGCGCGTATCATTATTATTATTATATAATAATAATTATTATTATTATATAATATAAATGATAGATGTCATTATTCCCTAAAGTTGTAACTCGTCTGTGTTGCATCAACGGGGGGGGGGTGAGGGGGTGAGAGAGAGCTCTGATTGGCTGAGAGCCGCAAGGGCGAATGGCCGCCCGCGATTGGTGCGTGGGAGGAGTGGGCGGGGCGAGGGCGGGGCGAGAGGGAGCGCTGCGATTGGCTGGTGGGCGCGGGTGGCGCACCTGTGGGCGGAGCGGCGTGTTGTGATTGGCCGGGGGGCGGGGCCGGGGGGCGGGGCGGGGGGCTGTGATTGGTCGGGAGGTTGACCGCGCTCACTGTGTGTGTGTGTGTGTGAGTGCAGAGGGAGTGAGTCACTGGAGTGGGACTCACACACACACACACACACAGTTGGTTTATAAGCGCTCTGACTGCCTGTCCTTGAGAGCAGATTTGTCTTGAACTTTGGTGGTGTTGGACTGCTGCCTTGTCTAGACTTCCCTTCCCAGCCCAGACCACCAGCCCAGACCACCCACCCCACCCCAGACCACCAGCCCAGACCACCAGCCCAGCCCAGACCACCCACCCCAGACCAGCCCAGACCACCCCAACCCACCCCAGACCACCCAGCCCAGACCACCCCACCTCAGCCTAGACCACCCCAGACCAGACCACCCACCCCAGACCAGCCCAGACCACCCCAGACCACCCCACCCCAGACCACCCCACCTCAGCCTAGACCACCCCAGACCAGACCACCCACCCCACCCCAGACCACCCCAGACCACCCCCCAGACCACCCCAGACCACCCACCCCAGCCCCAGCCCACCCCAGCCTGTGCTCAAGCCAAGAGAGCATCAGTTATCTCCTCACCCAACAGAGAGGATATTTTTTAGCACCTAAGTTGTCACCTGGGACCTGCTATTGCACTGAATTGCAGAATATTTCTGCAGAACAGATTTTTTTTTTGGTGGTGGTGGAAGAGAGAAGAATAGCAACTTGGATTTACAGTGATTGGTTTGCACTGCTTTGTGATTAATCCACAATATATATATATATATTAATATATATATATATAAAGAAGACTTTCTGACCAGCATGGCCACCACCACTCAGGTGATCACCTCTAAACATATCCACAGCTACATTATAAATACAGTGCTGCCCAAAGAGGATTTAACCTGCTGTCCAGGTAAGGCAAGCCATTGATTGATTGATTGATTCAGTTATTGATTGATTGATGGGTCGCGTTATTGATGGGTCGCGTTATTGATGGGTCGCGTTATTGATGGGTCGCGTTATTGATGGGTCGCGTTATTGATGGGTCGCGTTATTGATGGATTGATGGGTTGATTGATTGCAAAGCCAATTCTACTCGTAGTTATTTCCTAAGCGTTGTTGAGTCCGACGTGCGTTTCATGGTCACGAGGATTGCAGAGCGTTCCTTAAAAATCGTGCTTTTTACCGTGTTTTTTTTCGGCCGGGGAGAAACGCGAGGCTGAGAGAAGGTGTACCATTTAACAGACCCTCAGCGGAACGTTTAAAGAGGCTTCTGAGGATGGATGAAATATGGTTAGATCCAAACCTTATAGGTGACGATGCTCACTGAAGTCCACCTTCATATTTCTCCCCCCCCCCCCCCCCAAAAAAAAACTCTTGCACCCCACGTTGGTGTCTTATTGAATGTAATGGTGTGACTCTGGATCTAAGTTGAGAGAAAGGAACCAGTATCCCCTTTAGTGTGTGTGTTCGCCCCCCGCTCTAAGATAATAATAATAATGATAATCCTTGCAATTGATATAGCGCTTTTCACGTCGGGCGGACGTCCCAAAGCGCTTCACAGTACACACTGTAAAGTGAATTGACTGTATATTTGTGGGCGAACGTGGCAGCCAATTGCGCACAGCAATGTCCCACAAACACTCGTGGATTGAAAATGACCAATTTATTATTGTTTTTGGTTTTGGAGGGATTATTATTAGGCTCTGTGTGGAGTAAGGAAACTTGCCCGAGGTTTCGCCCTCTGCCTGGAATTGAACTCGGGTCTCTCGCTCGCAAAGCGAGTGCTCTAACCACTGAGCTACAGGACTCCCAAGATCAGAGATTACAGATGAACCTTATGTCAACCTTATTTCCATCACAGCAAAGGGCAAAGCCAGAGACGCCACTCCGATTCCAGATCTAGTTTCATTTGCTCTCTCTTTCCCTCTCTCTCTCTCTCTCTCTCTCTTTCTTTTCCCACTGAACTGTTTTTTTAATTTTTTTTATATTTAAAAAAAACACGAAACTTTTCGAAATACTGAGGCTTTCAGAGGTTTGGAGCTCGGATGCTGTCGGCCCGTTGTGGAACTGGTTATTTATTTAATATTAAATTAATGAATCGCCCCCACACCCCACCCCCCCCCCCCCCCCCCACCACCGCCTCCCACCCCAGGGGATCCGTTCAATTTGTGTTGAGGTTGTCAAGTTTCTTTCAGTGCCTGACGGGCTTTGCATTGTGACAGCAGCGTTTGATGCTGTAAACAGTGAAGCAAAGCCTTGGGAGGGGTGGGGGGGGGGTGGGGGGTGGGGGGTGGTGCATGTGTTACCCCAGCTGATCCCCCCCCTCCCACCACCACCACCACCCACCGCCTTGATAAATCGTTTCACTAACTCGTGAAAAGATCAAGTGACAAGGCTGTAACTTTTGCAAAGGGTAAGGAGAGAGAGAGGAGAAGTGGGGGGCGGGGGGGGGGGGGGTGAGTTTGGGCGGTGGGGGTTTGCCCAGCTCATGACAGGTGCAATTATGCAATTATTTCCTAGTCCTTCCTGACTGCATTCAGTGCTTTATTTTAAAAAAAAAACTGGATTAAAAGAATCCTCGCACAGCAAACGTGCGGTCCCGTGGTCTCGAGTTGCCGAGAGGACAGCATTGCGATGGTTTTGGAGGGTCACAGACAGGCTGTGTAGTGAGTCAGAGACCACCCACGTGGCGCCGCCTGTCGGAACAACGCAATCACTGCTGGGGGCGTGGAGGGGGGGGGGGCGTGGGGGGTGAATCTGGCATTAACCCCCTTAGCTTTTGGTTTGAGTTCTTGTCAAAATACCAATCTCCAGCAGTGATATCGGAAAGATTCTTTCTCCTCATCGACGCACGTCTGCCGTAGCTGAAGGAAATGGCCGTTTTAAAATTAATTTTAAAGTAACTGTTTGCGGGACACCGCTGTGAGCGGTTGGCTGCCGGGTTTCGCCCACAAGCCATTCATTCGCTCCGTTCACTTGAGGGTATATTCTGTGAAGCGCTTTGAGACGTCGCGAAGACACGGTACGGCGCCGTATCAAATGCCAGGATTATTCACCTGTAATTGATTCGCTGGATACGAAACTGCACAATTGATAACTTAACATCCCAGTAATAATATAACTGTTACTGCACATGACTGCTCACTTTATTTCTATTTTTAAATATAAATGCTGTACGCCCGACCTGAGGACTGATTGGCCAATCCCCAACATCTGTGAGAAACATCACGAGATTGAATAGTACGGTATTAATCAGAAGAATGAACTGCATTTGCTCGTATTTAGAGGCAGCGGATTTTAAACTAAGTTTTCAGTTGCGTTGTGTCATCCACCATATCTTTCCAGCGCTTCGTACGCGCCAGGTATTTCCTTGTAGCGTCAGGCATTTTTATTCAGTTAAAAGTTTATCCTGACACCAATTGGGCCAACAATCTCCCCAAATAAAATTGGCTTTCCATGAGCCGTTTGTGGGCCATTGCCGGGGACACATTGGTTGCCACAATTGCCGACGAGGTACAGAGTCGCACCACTTCTACGGTAGAATCTCGCGACGCGCCTCGAGATGTTTCGCCCTATGGCAGATCCATAGAAATTCGTCGGAGGAGCCCGTTGGGTCTGTGCTGCCTCTTTTTTTTTTCAGAGCGATCTTTTGAGTCCCAATTTGCCTGACCTTTCCCCATCACCCAACATCAAACGCAAGGGGTTAAGTCATTCATAATTCTTATTTCACCCACAAAGTATTCAACCGATTCACTTTACTGCCGTATTCCTGTGACGCGCTTTTTTTGGAGGGGCGTCTCAACGAGGTGATAAGGCGCTGTATCAAATGCGGTGATGGTGATGATGGTGGTGATGGTGATGATGGTGGTGATAATGATGATGGTGGTGATGAATATTAGACATAATAATACTGGGTGTGAATGGTTTGAAGGCAACCCGGCGAGTCCCTCGATCCCCATTGGCTGCCGACTGTACCCAGCGTTTCCCGCGCCCTGCGAGCGCCGGCCGCTGATTGGCCGGGGGGGGGCAACGTAACGGCACGTGGAGCTCGCGCGCCCGCCTCGGGCTCGGCCTCCGATTGGCCCACGAGTGTATCGAGTTGGGAGACGCTGATTGGAGGAGGGGGGCCGGGGCGGGGCAGGTGGGAGTGAGTGGTGGCGGGAGTCGGGGAGAGGACCAGAGATTGAGAAATCAGCCACACAGAGAGAGAGAGAGAGACACAGAGTGGTTCCTCGCACGGGATCTCTCCAGCTGTTGACCACCCAACCTCCCGACCACCCTCTCCCCTCAGTCGGGTTCACCACGACCCACCACGATGCTGGAACCCAGCAAACCCGCCATTCACCCCCAGGACCGTGATTTGCTTCAGAGTAAGATGCAGATCCAAGCGGCAGCGATGGCAGGTAGATGGATGGATGGATGGATAGATAGATAGCAAGCACCGGGTCCCTGGCGCTGGGTACCGGGCTGGCTACTCCCTACCGTCTCTGCCGTGAGTTCCTCCCGTGGCTTCGGGAAGGTGAAAGCAAGCGCCTGGGCTTTGGCAGCAGTTTTTGAGACGGCCGTCCCGTTTTTATTATCGGGATGATCTTGGCTGGACAGGAGAGAATTTTAGAGAGAGTTTAATCTGGCTGGGAATCACGATCATAATAGATTGTTGGTGGGTGCGTGTGTGTTGTATGTGTGTGTGTGTGTGTCTGACTGTCTTGTCTTTTTTTTTTCGGAGTGTTTACAATTTAGACGTTTTGACCTGATCTCTTGGACCCGAACGTTTAAGTACCTGTGAGACAATAACAATAGAAAGATTTGAGCGTGTGCTCGGCCATGTATTTAGGCGCTACCTCTGGTCCTCTTTCCACAAGGTTTTGAGCGAAGAGTTTGGGGATAAACTTGAGTGGACGCTGCGGGATGCTCACAGGAGTGAAGAGCAGGTCACCCAAGAAGGACTTGGGCTTCTTAATAACACTGCACAAATAAAATCTGTCGGTGGTTCGCAAACTTACTGATCTCCATGTTTATTTTTCGTCAGTGAAAGAACGGGAGCCGTTCGAGAAGAGTTACCAAGTGGGTCCAATTCTGGGAAGCGGTGGCTTTGGGACTGTTTATTCCGGAGTTCGCGTTTCAGATGGGATTTCGGTGAGTTGCTCATCTATTTGAAGACCGGTGTGGTCTCTGATCTCTATATCGCAAACCGGGATGTGTGTTTAAAACGACGTTCGTGTCTTTTTCAGGTTGCTATCAAACATGTGGCAAGGGAGAGGATCACCGACTGGAAAACACTGGTAAGAGTTTATAAGTTTCCGTTTTAGTTACAAGCTTAATTTTTTGGCATGAGTTCGCAAGTGAGAGGTCCTGGGTTCGATTCCCGGGCAGGACGAAACTTTGGGCAAGTTTCCTTACTCCACACTCTTCCGTTTAACCTTGCAGTAAGCAGGAACGTGATTGATTATTAATCGCTTTTCCCTTCAAACCGTGTGTTAAAAATAATAATAATTGGGTCACTCAATCCACGGCTGTTTGTGGGACGCTGCTGTGCGCAATTGGTTGCCATGTTTTGCCCACGAATTATAGAGTCAGTACACTTTACAGTATATTCTGTGAAGCGTTTTGAGAGTCTTAAAGACGCGATAAGGCGCTATATCAAATGCAAGGATTATTTTTTTTGATACATATCCGCATGAGTTTGGGACTCATTTTATTTCCTGTTCTTACAGAATGGGTCTATGGTCCCATTAGAAATTGTGCTGCTGAGGAAGGTGTCGACGGGCTTTCGGGGCGTGATCCGGCTTCTGGAGTGGTACGAGCGACCGGACGGCTTCCTCCTGATACTGGAGCGTCCGGAGTCCGTCCAGGACCTGTTCGACTTCATCACCGAGAGGGGCGCGCTCTCGGAGGAGGTGGCCCGCAATTTCTTCCGGCAAGTGGTGGAAGCGGTCAGGCACTGTCACAACTGCGGCGTGATCCATCGCGACATCAAGGATGAGAACATCCTGGTCGACCTGAGGACGGGAGAGCTGAAACTCATCGACTTTGGGTCGGGAGCGTTGCTGCGGGACACGGTCTACACAGACTTTGATGGTAAATAATAATAATAATAACCCTGGCATTCGATACAACGCCTTATCACGTCTTTGAGACGTCTTAAAGCGCTTCACAGAATATACCGTAGAGTGAACTGACTATTTTGTGGGCCAATTCCATGTGACACGCGCTGTCTTGAAATAGACCTCGCAACGTTGTTAGAAATGAGTTAGCTTGTTTGCTAATTGACGTAGACGCTTTGACTTTGGTCATTTGTTTTGTATTGCGATCTCGAGACCTCAATCAGCGATCTCAGCCACAGAATTTGGGACAAGTTTAGGAACTTGCGCGTTACTGTAGTTTACCCACTGAACCATTGGGTATAATTGCGCAAGAAGCCCCTCTGAAATCATTTCGTTCACAAAGAAAGACTTCAGCAGCGCGTGCGTGTGTGTGTGTGCGCAGTGCATAGGATGTGATGTCAGCTGATACTTTACGCCCTTACTAAAAGTATTATTTTTTTAGCGCAGAAAGCCTAGTACAATGTGTATAATGTAGTTCACCTGCGCTATAAGCAGATCAGTGTTGAACAAGGGGAAGTGTAATAAGTGGGTCACGCAGTATTCTGATTCGAATGGGAACAGTGCTCATTTCCTTTATTGCAGAATCAGTACAGGTGCAGTTAGATTTTCTCCCGTCTAATGTTCCAGCTCCCGTGATTGCCGTTTTAACGCCCGTGATCACAGGGATTGCATCCTGGCTGGCACCCCCTTCAGCTCCTTGCGAGGCTGAGGGAGAACGGAGGAGAAAGCAGTGTAACTTGCCCCATCGCGATTGCTTTGTACGTGTCAGGAACAAAATGCTCCAACATGAAAAACTGATTGAGACGTGTGACCTTCTTTCCAGGCACTCACGTGTACAGCCCTCCAGAGTGGATACTCTGTCACAGGTACCACGGCCGTTCAGCCACCGTCTGGTCTCTGGGGATCCTGCTGTATGACATGATCTGTGGCGACATCCCTTTCGAGCACGACGAGGAGATCATCCGTGGGAAGGTTTTCTTCCAGAGAGGTATCTCCAGAGGTAAATATCTGCTCGTTCGTTCAGCCTCTGGTGCTCGGATGCGACGAAAAAGAGTTCTCCCAACACAGATGGCCAAGTTGTTTGGTACTCACAAAATATAGTATGTTCAATGAAGCACTTTGCAACGTCTCAATAACGTGATAAGGTGCTATATCAAAGAATTTATTATTTACACAGTAGAGAAGCAAATGCCATCATGTACTTACTGCTTCGGTAGAATAATTTAAACAGAGCAAGAGGGTTGTTGGAGGGAGGTCACAGAGGTTGGGTGGAATGAGGCTGTGGAGGGATACGAAAGAGGATGAAGGTCTTGAGTTCGAGGGGGATGGGGAACCGAGCGAGAACAGGGGTGATTTCCTCTGGGTGCCCGGTGCGGGGAGAGGACATGAGCTACAGCACTCTGGCTGATCTGCAGTAGGTATAGGGAAGTAGTGGAGAGTCTGATGAGCAAGTTCGAATAGTTCAGCCTGGATGTGATGAGGGTCTCAACGGCCTGGAGGAGAGTTAGTGGCAAAGTCGATGCTGAAGAGGTGAGGGGAAACCTCAATTGATTTGGTCGCTGCAGTCTTCTGAGGCTGTACATTCCTACAGACCTCTCGGCGATAATAATAATAATCCTTGCATTTGATATAGCGCCTTATCACGTCTTCGAGATGTCTCGTAGCGCTTCACAGAATATACTGTAAACTTGTGGGTGAATTGCGACAGCCAATTGCGCACAGCAGTGTCCCACAAACAGTTGAGCTTTATATTTTTTACCTAATCCAGATGTGCAAGAGTTTTATAATGTCAATATCGGTCAAACTTTTTTGATTTGACAGTATTGATGATGACGTTTTTTTAAAAAATTATTTATTAATAATAATTATAATAACTTTGACCACTAAAGATTTTCCGTGTTTCTACATTGCAGATTGTCAGCATCTTATCCAGTGGTGCCTGTCTCTGCGACCCTCCGACAGACCGTCCTTGGAGCAGATCCTCGTGCACCCTTGGCTGAAGCAAGAGAGCTTCCTGCAGCAAGCGGAGGGGGAGTTGAGGTGGAAGGGACTCGAGGAGAAGTCCTCCAGCTCCAGCCAAGAAAGCTTGTAAGGCTAGAGTCGGCGTGAACCTGGGAGCACAAGAGCGAGCAAGCGAACGCCAGGCGGGCCACATGAGTTTGTGTTGGAGGGCCAGGCCACAGCGTTGGTACACGTTACTGACTGAGAGCTGCAGTTGGGATTGAAAAGCCATGGCGGATGCCAGGGTCCAGTTTGGAGTTGGCACTCATTCGAACGCTGGACAGATTTAAATTCTCAGGATTGAGTGCGGTGTCGATTGGAGGAGGAGGTGGTGGTGGTGGTGGGGTTGGACAGGACAGTGTGGTCCAAGATCACGTCAGCAATCCGTCCAACAGGTGGCTTTCGAATAGACATTGTAGGGCCGCTGAGCAGAGTTACAAAGGGTCGGTATCATTTTTTTTTAAATAAACTACGTGGAAGACCTCCATGGCTTTGGGACTGATTGAAGGCCAAGGAAGTCTTAGCCTTGGAGATCGCAAGTCTACTTGGCTGGACGATACACATCAGAATATGTTGGTTGGAAATTGTCGCAAGGGTTCTCCAACACTTGATCATTGAGCGGTAGCACCAAGCACTTGGAGGGTTGCTTCTAGATTGGGGATGATTGCTGGTATTCGCAATGATTGTCAACCGTGAGGATTATATGGGCGGAGGTGGTGGGGGGGGCAAAAGCTGATGCTAATGTCATTGTGACTTGATTCTGAAGTTACCAGCATCAGAAGGTGTGTGTTTCTGATCCATTCATTGCGACCAGCAAAATCATCTTGTGTCGGGGGTACTTTTGTATGATTGATTGTGTCCTTCGGTTAATGTGTTCTGGTTTCAGTCAAGCTTATATGATATTAACACAGTACAATGGAACCAGCATAAAGGTGAGCCAGAGGCAAGCATGGATATCCAATGGACATTTCCTGTTTCCTTCTACAATCAGAATCATTGTCTGGTGCAGACTGAAGCGTTGTCTGTCTCACTGAATCTGTGTGATGCTGGTTACAGTTGACCAAGTGTCGGGAAGGGGGGAAGAAGAGGTTAGAAGGTGCCTCTGGATGTACAAAAGGAGGGGTTTGATTATAAGGTGGTTTCTTGGTTATATTTTGTCCCAGAGCTCAACAAGGGTGGGGTGGGGGGGAGAAAAACTACATGAAAATGGAGTTAAATGTAGTAGAATCTTGAGGCTTAGAACATTTCAGATTTTCCAACCATACTCTGTTTGACTAAAGTTTATTTTTCTGAAAAAATCAGTCAATTTTTGAAGAAGACAAGTGGGTCAAGGCTGAGGGGTATGGTAAATGAAAACTGGGCGATAGGAGGAAGCCTACAGCACAAGTGTCATTTCAGAACCCCAGCTGTGGAGATCCCTTTGCGTGAACAATTGAGGCTGTTGTATTTCTACAAAGCACAAATGCCGGGAATCTGTGTTTAGTGACTTCGGGTGGGTGTGGGGCGGGTGGGGGCGGGGAATCAAAGCCACATAGAGGCCACCCCGCGGCTGGCAGATTGGTTCATGTTTTATTAAGTTGACGGGAAGCATTTATATTTTAAGGACTCCCAAGCACATTCAATGCAAGAACCTATGCAAAACCAAGAATGTGCTTACCATTTGACTCGATGCCAATAAATGGCCATCGACAGTAGATGTATAGATATAATAAAATGTGAATGACAATGTACTGTTTATCGCAAAGAGTGGGTGGATTGCCTTTCTCAGGGAATCGAGAGAGAATTCATTACCATGTTAGACCTCTAGCCAGCCTCGAGCTGGAGAAAAATCTATTTGGGATTGGGGTTCTGTCCCAATTCTCTATCGCCACAGGGCTCCAGTGCAGGATTTAGAGGAAATCTTACCTGGTTCGGGTGAAATTGATTACAGTATTATGCAAGAGCGTGTGGGATTGGCCCCCACAACGGATTCAATGCACAAAGTCACCTTTCAGGTCAACAAACTTTTATATTTTTTTGAGCCAGTGTGAGCCCACTCTGAAAGGGCGGCTGCACAGACTTCAAGCGTCCTCTTTGAGATTTCAGAACTCTGACCTCATCATTCGCAAAGGTGTTCTCTGCACCTTTCCGTTCGAAGGTTCTTGCACAGCTTATAGTCGGAGAAATCTTTTTTCAGTACGTTTTTAAGATGCGAAATGTATTTTTTTTAAGATATAAAAAAAAAGGAGAAAGATACACATTCGTGTGGTTGCAGTGTCTCGATTTTTAGTTGTAATTCGGTTTGTTTCAGAATTGCGCATTCTTTTTTTTTCACACAAAAAAAAAAAAGAAATTTTTGTTTCGGTTTTGACACGTCTCTCCAGTCCATGTTACGCCTAAGAGTCGAATGTGCAGGATCCTCTATGTGATTTGTATTGATCGATAGCTGACGCAGCCCTAGTTTCACCTCGTTCTGTTTGGATGAGGATGTTGTTCGGTTTAAGATCGGGCATGATCAGGGCCAAGTTAATGGGAAATAAAAACAGAAGTTGCTGGGAATATTCGGCAGGTCAGGCAGCATCTATGGAGAGAGGAAAGTGGGTTTAAGTTTCAGGTCAATGACCTTTCGTTTATTTTCCCAAATTAATGGGAGTTGGTTTGTGTGCTGGTGTGAGCCCAGGACCTTCACTGCTTTAATTTAAACGCCTCTTGCGTTGAGGCAGGTTCTAATTTAATATTTGTTGTTCGAGCAGTTATTTATTCTAAGTTGTTTAATTGTTTTGTTAAGACCAGATTCAATGCGTGGAGCCATCAGTAAAAGCAGCACTGCGATGCTGGATGTTAATGTTTATAAACGGGTTGAAGAATTCCGTTCTTATTTTTCTATTTCAAATGAAATTAAAAATCGCACTGTTTAAACTTCACATTTTTGTGCTCTGACCCTTTGTATTGTTAATAATCCTTGTATTACAGTGCCTTTCCACATCTCAAAGCGCTTCACAGAATATACAGTAAAGTGAATTGACTGTATATTTTTGTGGGTGAAGCACAGCAGCCAATTGCACACAGCAGTGTCCCACAAACAGTTGTGGATTGAGTGACCACAAGATTTTTTTTAAATATAAATTTTAATATAAATTGAAGGGATTATGACGCTGGGAAAAGCGATCTGCCAATCGATTTAACAACCGGGTTCCTACTTACTGCGAGGTAAACAGACGTGTGGAACAAGAAAACTTGCCTGTGGTTTTGACCTGTCTGGGAATCGAACCTGGGTCCTCTCGCTTTCAGGGATGCAGTTCAGAAAATTTGGAGGAAGAATATAAAAGTGCACTGAAAAACAGGGATTTGAGCACATAATTCAGTGGGTCCAAGACTCATCTCAACCAATTCAATACCTCGGTATCACAGATTCCAAATGAGCACCTTTCATTTCCAAATCCAGTTCTCAGCAGACTGAGATACCTAGGCTCACTGAATATGTGTGTTGGGTGGAAGGGTATTTATTTGCTGTGAATTTTCTCATTCATTCAACTCCCAATATAATTGTTCATACAACAACAACTTGCATTTATATAGAGTCCCTCACACAGGGTAACATTCCAAGGTGCGAGATGCCAGTCGAGCGGAGGCACCGGGTGGTGGATTGGGGAGTTAGGTAGTCGGAGAGGTAAGGAGGTGCCAGGGAGTGAATGGATTTGAACATAAAGGGAAAGGTCTTCAGTCAATTTCTGTAGATGGGAGGGAAGGGTCAAGGCGGAGGGATAGAGGAAGAGTTTCGGGGCGTAGTGGCTGAAAGCGTGGCCACCGATGGTGGAACAGCGGGCACAAGGGACATGCAGCAGGCCGGTGCCAGTCAAGCTCAAGCGGAGGCTATCTGTGCGCTGTTTTAAGTTTCCCTACTTCAAAACAGGTGATCTTTTACACTTCCTTTTTCTCTACACCCCTCTTCTGCCTCCGCTTCACTCTCCATCTTAAACGTATTGATGGTGGGATCCGGAGAGACAATGTGTAACCTATGTTGCAAATGCAAATCTTATAACCAGATCCGAGGAGGTTAAAGGGCTTCCATAATGGCTCAGTTGATAAAGCCACTCACTGCTCAGTATGAATTGGCTGCCATGATTTGCCCACAAAATACACAGTCAATTCAGAGGGGGGGAAAAAAGATGGATAAGAGCATCTGAGAGTTGACCCGCAAAAAGTCAATGAAATTAATATTATTTTTTTTGAAGGGATTATTACCCCGGAAAGTGATTCTGCAATCGACTAACAACCGGGTTCCTACTTACTGCTCAGTCAAAGAGGCATGTGGAGTAAGGACACTTGCTCTGACTGGGAATCGAACTCAGGTCCTCGAGCATGCGAGGCGAGTGCTCTAACCAATACCTGGTGCCTGGTGGTGGAACGGCAAAGATGTTTCTAAGACCCAATGAGAGTTCGTAATAAGATCAGCCACCAGTCTGGTGAAGCACACTTGCTTTTCTGTGCTATTAGAAAAAAATTCTGCCGACTCAGTTCATTTAAAAACCCCATCAAGTAGCTGCATGCAGCATCCAGTTTGTTGCACTCTCTCTGAGACCGTGTAATGCAATCCCCCAGCTCTTTGCCCAATTTCCCATTTACAAGCTTCAGAACTCCATTTGCAAAGGAAATGAAATCTAAAACTATCCCCCGAGGGTTTCAGCTATATCAAATTAGTTCATGCAGTTCCACTCCTCAATACAACACCATCTATCAGCGCTGATAAAAAGAACAAGACCTATTACAATATGTATTTATAAAACATCATTGGACGCAGTCTAACCCGATACATTCCTCTCGTTACCTCCATTTTTAGCTGGTTTCCTGCTAATGTATATTTTCTGCTCCGGATATATTACACAAAGGATATTTAGTAGGTTTTCATTCTATTTTTGTCTCTTGTGTCATAGCCGGGTGGCTAAGTCTGGTGGAGGGAATGGTAAATAACCCGCTTGTGGATCTTTACCAATGCTGTTCTGAATGAAGCCACAGTTTAGGGGGAGGGGAGGTGGGGGGATTCAAGATGTGAAGTGTTGTGGGTGCAAATGCACATCTGCTTGGGGACCCCAGAGTGCGTACTGGGTCCTGCTATGGTTAAACCAGTTGCAGCCGTCCAGTCGAAGAGTTCATCTCTCTTCAGTTGGTCCTTTCTCCTCTGCACAATGAGACGATTGGTCTTCACTTTGTGACCAACACGCGAGAGAAAAAACATGCACCACCGTCCTGATCGCTGCATCACCACATGACACACGCAGGTGGCACTGAGATTGGATCCATAGACAGGCTTGGAGTCGATGGAGTAGCAGTTTGCATACTAGGCAGTCACTGCGTCGAATCCTGGTTTGTGCTGACTTTGGTGGTCTCAGCTGACACCTGAGAGGCTAAATTAGCTCCAGGTCCCCTAGGGTTAGGGGAAATACCACAACAATAACTTGGGTAGCGTCTCAGAGCACTAACTCCAAGTCGGGGGTGGGGGAATGTAACCGTAAGCACGGTCGAAAAGGAAGGTTTTCAGGTGGGATTTGAAAAAGGGGACTGAGGATGGTGGGGAGGGGAAGGTGGAGGGATTTAGGGAGAGTTTTCCGGAGTGTCAGGTGTAAAGCAGCCTCTACGGAAACCTGGTAGTGTGCTTTTGTTGTAGCTGGGTGAGGGAGAAGTATGCTTTAAGGTGTAGTGGTCTGTAACACTCACTGCCACTAATACATGAACAAACAGCAATCAGACATCATGAGACTGCATCCCATCATTAGGAGACTGGTGTCCAAGAGCAGAGCCAAACCATCATTGCTGTGTAGAGCACAGGTAAGACCTGTCTTCCTTTTGACCAGAAATTTATAATTTATAAGAAACCAACAAAAAAAATGACAGCATCCATATCAAGATTGGGAAGAAAATTCCAGCCTATAAATAATAATCCTTGCATTTGATACAGCGTCTTATCACGTCTTCGAGACGTTTCAAAGCGCTTCACAGAATATACTGTAAAGTAAATTGACTGTATATGTTGTGGGCAAAATGCGGCAGCCAATTGCGCACAGCAGCGTTCCACAAACAGTTGTGGATTGAGTGGCCAAAACCTTTTTTTGGTCAATAGCAAGTATAAATATAAAGTACGACAATGACATTCACTGACACAGAATCGACTCTAACAGCAACATGAAGGGTGAGCAATTTACAACCCTGGTACTGAGCTGTAGAGCATGACTGACAGGGTACCATCTGTCCCATTGCAGGGCTGTGATGAATGATTGAGCGAGCAGCGGATGTGGCCAGGAAAAGCAGGACTTTTACTGGATGCACTTAAAGGAGAAACAGTCTGTAATCAATAATTCAGTAGAAATAAGCCTGATCTTCCTGAAATTAACCTCCAGCAAGCAAATCAAATCCCACGGCGAGATATGGCAGAGTGCGTGTTTCGGCAGGAGGGGGCTTCTTAACCCCCTCGGCAATGCTTTCTGCACATATTCGAAATATAATCGTGAGCTCAGCGTGGATCGCCTAAATCGTTATGTCTATACATAATAATAATGGTAATCCTTGCATTCCAAATAGCGCCTTATCACATCGTTGAGACGTCTCAAAGCGCTTCACAGAATGCACTGTCTAGTGGATTGACTGTGTGCTTTTGTGGGCGAAATGCGGCAGTCAACTGTGCTCAGCGGTATCCCACAAACAGCCATGAAGTGAGTGACCAATTTTATTTTATTTATTTATTTGTTTATCTTGGATGGATTATTACCCGCAGAAAGCGATCCACCAATCGACTTAACAACTGGGTTCCGACTTGCTGCGAGGTAAACAGATAGCATCATATATGTTTCCCGTAGGCCTTGTTTGCTTGCAGAATAGGTTAGACACAATCCTTTCACTATCGGGGCTTCATGTGGAGTAGCGCTCTGAGACGCTACCCCTGTGTGAAGTGCACTATATAAATGCAAGTTGTTGTTGTTGGGTTTGATTCCAGCCCTGACAGATACATTTAATCACTTTTCTCCAGCTATAGGGGAAGCCTTGAGTCATTCTGCCGCAGAAGCTGTCTATGTGACAAGCTACAAGACAATTTTACTTTGCGAGTTTCCACAATGTTTGCAATTGACTGTTGCGATCACCCTCACCGTAATGAGCTGATGGAATTGTAGCGTAAGGGACAATGTGATCTGATTAATGGATGCACAATCCGGATTCACCTACACTGCCCATTTTTATCCCTTCATGGGATTTTGAACCCGATCGCCAATGCTTTGACTCTGCTCTAGTCCTGCAGAAATGCATGGGGAGAGTTTAAACAAAAAATATATGCTGTGTATTCCCGGATGCGAAGGGAATGGGGTGGAGGGGGTGGCAAGTGAAACTGCGAGTCATTGCACGGTGAACTTGTATCAATCACTGCCCTGCTCTGCTGAGCAAACGGACATCTCATTAACCATTCATACAGGCAGACTGAACGGCCAGGGTCAAGTCAACTAAAAGAATTGCCATTTATATTTATAGCCTCTTTCTAACCTTAAAGCACTTGTTTCTCAATCTGATTTAGGTTGGGTTAACTGTATTTAGTGTTTGA